AGTTTGAAGAGTACGGCACAAGGGTCGGCTCCAGTGGAGGTGGTGATTCAGGACCTGTCGGCGGTGGCGCGGGAAGCGGGCTGGGCGGTGGTGGAGCCGGCGGCGGCGCCGGGCGGCGGCGGCGCCAAGGTGTCATTGGCGGCAGGGGAGCTGCGCTCCGTCACCTTGTCGTACACTGCACCGCGGCAGCCCCACGCCGGCATGGTGGCGGCGTACGGCCACGCGGAGTACCGGACGCTGCGGCTGCAATGCACGCTGCGCGGCGGGCTGCCGACTCTCTCCGGCGGACCGGACGGTCGTACAGTGACCCTCGTGGCCCGTTGTAAGTTGATGCCCGGGACGAGGCCGCTGGGGGAGCCGGTCCCGGCTTCGGTGACGGCGGCACCGGCGCCAGGCTCCGCCGCGGGTGGGATACGGAAGCCGCCTGCCACGGCCGCGAGCGCCGGCGGCGGCGGCGGCGGCGGCGTGCCACCAGCTTCGCCGGCGGCAGGGAAGAAGGCTGTTGCATGACGCAGCAGCGCACCCTCAGGCCGGCGGGAGGGACCTGTCGGTCCAGGTGAGGTAAATTGCAAGAGCCGCTAGGGCAGTACAGGGCCCGAGGCCCTCGGGATAAGGGGCGCGCTGTGGTGAACGGGCGCCATCGTCGACGCCTTTTGCTGCCATTGCGCCGTCATCCTCGGGGGACGAGGGTGTGTGTGTGTGTGTGTGCGCGGGGGGGCTCCACTTATATGCTGTGTGTGAAGCAAATGTATAGGTTGCAGTCAGTTTGCAGTGGAGTAATGTGGAATGCAGTGCTGTTCTGTTCTGTTCTGTCCTCCGCTGGGTGGCGGCTGTCAACGTTCAAGGCCGTGGTCTCTCCTACTGGCGGGGCTGGCAACGTGCACGTGGCAGTGATGGTGAGATGGTGGGAAATGGCGATGGTGCAGGACCGTTTGTTGTGTTGTACAAGAACAAGAACAAGAAGAAGACGGCGAAGAAGAGGAAAAGACGAGAAGAGGAAAGGAAAAGACGGCGCACGGAATGGGGAGGGTGGCTGTGTATGCAGGGTAGCTGACTGGGACTACTTGGACTTGAGAGGCACACAACCCTTCCCCCCTTCCCCCGGCGGCGCTCTCCACACGCTTTGGCTAACGGTGCGGTATCCTCGTGCTCACCAGAGGGGCAAGAGGGTGTTTGGGTGGATGTGGGGGGGCTGCTGGCTGCTGCAGAAACAGATGAAAACGGGATTGGGCCGCCTGACGCATGTCAGCGCAATTATAATTCAATTACATCGGTGGATGTGTGTGTGTGTATGTCTGCGTGACGTAGACGTTGGTGCTGGAAGGGGCGTGATAGGGTAGTTAAGGGGTGATGATATGTTGGTGGGGGCCAGTGCTGACAGTGGCTTTGCTTTTTACTTGCTCGGCACGGGGCGTACGGCGGACATGTGCACAGGTGCAGTTGACCCTGGGTGATTGAAATGTTTGGGGCCGGACGCTGATTGTGGCGGCCGGACAGTGCGCGGCGGGGAAGTGCAGGTGGGGAAATGCAGGTAGCCCTTACTTTTGTGGACATGTATGTGCAGCTGGCAGCGTGGGGCAAAGAAATGAAAGCTTTTCAATTCCAGGTATAATTCCGGTGTGGCAGGCATATGCTCCGAGTAGCTGTGTGAGGGGGGGATGGTCTGCCGTAGGTGGTGTTCGTGGTGGTGACATCTACCGCGTGTGTGTGTGTGTGTGTGTCCGTATCTGTGTATTAGATTGACGGGGTATAAGAAACCGCAGCACCGTGAAGCCGTTTTTCAGGCCAGTTCCTGATGACGGGAAAAGGCAGACGTGATACTGCGGACCGAGGCTGTCTGCCTTTTACTGCCTTACTGCCCCCCCCCTGCATGCCCCCGGGGGATGCCCATCACCAGCGTTACAATAATATAATAACCATCACCGTTGACTACTGATTTCTTATACAGTCTTATACCGGATTTTGAAGCAGTGCAAGATGTGCGTGTTTTTGTGTGTGTGCATTTGCAAGTACGGCATTTGCAAGGGCGGCCCTCACAGCAGCATCTGCCCTCCCCCTGTTTCCGTTTCCGCGCCCGCCTAGGTGACCGCGTGCGACTTATCCGTTGCGCGATAACGCCCCCGCCCGCTGTATGCTCACATGTAGTAGTCGCCTTATGGCCGCAACAGCCGCCGCGCGTGCATGTGCGTAGGAGTAACGCTTATGGCCAAGATGTGCGTGCGTGCGTGTGTGTGCGTGGGGGGAGAAGGGTACTCGCAACGATAAAGCCACCAGCAGCAGCAAAGGCATATAGGTATTATTTGTATATAAAAAGTTCCTGAGCGGTGCGTGTGAAATCCTAAGTGTTTGTTACAGACCGCTGGAGGCTGCAAAGGGAAGCCTGTGCCTTACGACCTCAACGGACCAAAAGGATTTATAGGCTCTTAACGAGCTGTGCTACCGTGCTTTGAGGGTTCCTGAGAGTCTGGAGCACCGTGCCGGCGATAACAGGTCCCTTTTCATAGGGCCGCCTCCACCATATCATCCTGCGGCCTGAGAGCCTGCGGCGTCGGGTTGAGATGTCTGCAGCAACATCCCGCCGTAGGTTCCTGCACCAGTCATTCGGCTACCGAGGCGCCATGTTTGCCCAGTGCAACCCGGGTCGCCTTACCTGCCGTTTACCTGGAGTGTGTGGAAGGAAGCGCTTCCTGGAGTGAGTGGGAAGCTCCATGACCCCTCCTCTCGTCTTTCCGTGGCCGCCCATGATCCGAGATGAGTTCTAAGATCGACGATAGCCGCTATATCTCAATCGCGCACCCCGCACAGGATGGTCCCGCGCCAGAGTCTTTTCTGGACGCAGAGTAAGCAATGCACACGCAAATCGCTTGAGGCACATGCAACATGCACGCGCACGTATGCAACCACATCCCCGGCAAGCAAGCGGAGCGCCAACAACAACACCCACAGCGGAGAAGGTCCCACGCGCACCGTCACCTTTTCTCCTGTCAACAACAAGGTGCAATCTGCGCACCGCTATTCCTACCTTTCATCCCTTGTAAAGTTCGCCTTTAAAGTTGTGCCACCGGGCAAACGAAAGCTGACCGCTGCACGTCAGCACTGTCGTTAGAGGATTTGCAAAACCCCGTGATGTGCAATTCCATTTATTGCGTCGGTTTAGCTTCCCTTGCTGACTTGCGTCCAGCCATGATACACATACATACGAAGAACTCCCTCTTTCTCTCCCTTTCTCTCTCTCTCCCTCTTTCTCCCTCTCTCCCTCTTCCTCTCTCTCCCTCTCTCATGTAATAGTATGCAGTGGGCCGAGTCCGCGACCAACAAACGACGACCGCCTACTATGATGAATGATCCCGAACAGCAAGGTGCCGGGTCCCCGTGACAAAGAAAGAGCCCAGCGCCGCCACCGTCGCCGTATTCTGTAACCCATGCGAGCTGCAGTGCGTTAAGCGCCCTTCGCTCACCCGCGCGCCCCTCCGACTCTCCAGGCTTCCGTGGACAGCGGAACACCCATCCCTGGACTCTGCATACATTATCCATATCTGTCTGTCCCTCCAATATTAATCGAAAAGTCGAAAGCTTTCGGTCTGCCCGCTCGTCCGCTTCCTCCGCAAAATATGTTTTTGGCACGGGAGTGACGAGGAGAGTCCTCCCAACGCAAGGACGGACGGAGGACCAGCTGCTGCCTGGCGGCATGCGGCCGCTAAGGGGAGGGCAAACGGACAACACAACACCAATGCACCAATGGATCAATGCATGTGGGGCACAGCCTCTCTCTTACCTACCTGCTCTATACTTGCTAACCTGCCCGTACGCCCTTATCCTCAGAAAAATGCCCTTTTCCCATTTCCGATGCGCATCAGCATCCTCCTCCTATTTATCCTACCTATCCCATCCCCATCGACCCCTCGTAGCATCCAAACCATCATCAGGTGCACGGCTCACAACACGGCCAAACACTACAACGCCCCGCAACATTGCCTCCTTCTTGCGTGCGCTCGGACCCTAAATGCTTAGCTCGTTATGAAAACACCATTTATGTATATCATTTTATCCGATCCGGGTTTCTAACAGTGACTGACATACATAACGTACGAACATACATCCAACCATCCGACCAACATCCGCTAGCGTTTCCGATTCGTTTCAACGAAATAAATCATTCACAGTTTCAACCGTTTACAACCAAATTCCCTCGTTCATGCACAACACTAACAGCATATACTGTTACTCGAGTGCATGCATTCTCCTCACCCCGCGGCTCAGCTCGTTACAACACCAACAGCACAAGTCGCGAAGCTGGGACAAGCGCACAAAGCATAAAGATCCAACATCCGCCACGTCCTGCTCAACGACGCCACCATCGCCAGCTCCTGCCATGTACGGCGCCGCCGCCGCAGCTCCCCCCATCCCCCCCGAGCAGCAAGGACTCGCCCCCTCCCCCGCCGCCGCCGCCGCCTCCCGGGCCGCCGCCGCGGGCCCCTGGAGCCCGCATCGCCTGCTCTGCCGCCGCCGCCGCCTCCTCTGCCGCACGGCTCGTCACCTTGCTGGCGCCCAACAAATCAATCACCTCGTACGACTCATCCGTTGCTCGGATGCTGATCAGGGAGCAGCTCCCACCGCCGCCGGCGGTGTTGCCGGCGGCTGACGGCGAGGCAGGGAATGGCCATGAGGCCGAGGGGTCGGCCACCGCCGCCGCCGCCGCGGCCGCGGCCATGTTCGCCGCTGCCTTCGCGATCACAGACGCCAGCTGGACTCGAGCGGTGGCGGCGGGCAATCCGGCGAGATCAAGCTCCTGGAGTGCCGTATTCT